TCCTTCCTCTCTCTCTCCTTTCTTTCTTTCTTTCTTTCTTTCTTTCTTTCTTTCTTTCTTTCTTTCTTTCTTTCTTTCTTTCTTCCTTCCTTCCTTCCTTCCTTCCTTCCTTCCTTTCTCTCTCTCTCTTTTCTTTCTTTCTTTCTTTCTTTCTTTCTTTCTTTCTTTCTTTCTTTCTTTCTTTCTTTCTTCCTCTTTCCTTCTTCCTTTTGAGATAGAGTCTCATTGTGCAGTTCAGGCTGGCCTTGAACTCACTGTGTATCCTAGCTTGCTTCCAGCTTGCAGCAGTCTTGCCTCAGTTTCCCAGTGCTGGGATTACAGCTATGCACCACCATACTCAGCTTTTTTTTGTTAGCAGAGATGTTTGATAAGAAGTGGCCATATTTTCCAAAACAAACATAATTAGAAAAATGTAAAAATTGTTTTACATTTTTGCATGTTTCTTTAATGTCTGGCTAAAGGGAAGCCTCCTGCTTCTGCAGTCTCTGCAACAGCTTTGTAGCCCAAAAGATGCTTCCTACCCTATAAGGTAGTGGAAGTGAGAATCAGACAGAGAACACCTTCCTATTTTAGGACAATTGTGACTTTGTGAAGCCTGAAAGATCTCAGAAGTCCCCAGACAGTGAAAACAACCAACTGTTTAAAAGAATTTTCCATGTTAGAATGGGTCTCTTGGCTTTTGTTTTCCCAAAATAAATCAATGGAAAGGCCAAGGAGGAGACGGAAAATAAAAAGGAGGTGAGGAAGGAGAGAGGAGGAGATAAAGGGAAACAGAGGAAAATATTGACAGAAGAAGAAAAGGGAAAGAAAGAGAAAGAGAAGCAGAAAACAGGGCAGGAGGAGGGAGTGGCCACCTGACCAGTGGTAGGACATGTTCGAGATGCTGAGGATGGCCTGACCATGGCTGGAGCTCAAGGACACCTGTGTCCCTGACCGCAGGACAGTGTATTTGTCGTTCTCTGTATGTCTCAAGAACCATGTCAGGCTGGTGGCATCAGGAGTGGTGAACAGAGTCAGGTTCAGCTTGTCACCAGGCTTCTGTTGCTGGGAGTTCAGGGAGAGCTTCCCAGGCACTGTAGGGGCAGAAGACAGGGATGGAGGGGGACCTCAAGAGCCTCTGGCAGCTAAGCAACCCCTCCCTTCCAGGCTGACCTTGAAATCCTGACAATCCTCCTGTCTCAGCCTCCCTAGTGCTGGAATTACAGGTGTGTACCATCACACCTAGCTCTTTCTCTTTCCTCTAAAGTCCTTTTTTTCTCTGCTGCCGGCTGCTATCTTGTCCCTGGGTAGGTATCTCAGTGAGGATGCTGCAATCCAGTCTGGAAGACCTTATCATTTGGAATAGAAGATGGAACCTACTCCCTTTGCTGGGTAACTTGGCGCCACTAGAGCTGCCTGCTGGCTGCCTGTGCTAGCAAGCAGGGTTGCTATAGCACTTTCTCTCATCTGTATGGCTCTGGGGGCTCATTCATCAGTCTCACTCCTCAAGGCTCAAGCTCAGGGCCTGAAATCTGCTATGACACTTGGCTTTTCTGCCCATCCAGAAGCTCAGGGGGTCTTGGGCCAGCTGGCAGAAATACAGATTCAGAGAATACAACAGTAAGCTCTTTCTTTCACTGGTTCCCAACCCTCCTCACCAGGTGGCAGCAACTGGCAGTAGCTGGAGACAGAGTGGCTGAAGATTTGACAGTCACAGAGCTGATCACGGGAGGAGCAGGATGTGCGGCGGGAACAGAGATGGGCGCTCCACCGGTATCCTGGGCGGCAAGCACAGCGACTGTGCCCCGTGTGCGTGACATTACAGTCTGTGACAGGAGGAGGGAGAAGTGAGCAGAAGAGAGCAGGGTGTATGGGACCAGCAGCCTCCCAGTGCCTGAGAGCTGTACAGCTCGGTGTCAGGACAAATCCTCACAAATCCCACAAGGCCAGGGCCCCATCAACCTCACCCACCAGCACTGTCCTGTGCTGAGGGCTCAGAGTAGAGGTTGTGAAGGGGCATTGAGGTGGGGTGGGAATGGCGGGGCCCACACTACCTGCTCCTTAGACAACAGGGTGTGCATAGGAAGGGTGGGGTATGGAAGGGGTTCAACCAGGAAATAAGAACCAGGGGCCAGGGAAGGGCTCCCAGCAAGCCTGTGCTCATTCAATCTGGGCCCGCTTCCCACCATTTCTACCTGTCGTGATGTTAAGGCCAGTCAGATTTCTTGGGGAGGAAGCAGCCAAGGCAGGAGGAATAGTCAGGGCCCTGTCGTGTGCCAATGACCAGGTCTTGTCTGAGAATTCCAGTTGCACATAGACAGAGACCAGGACTGAATCTACAGAGGAGAGGGCAGCTGGAGAGGAGTGGCAGCAAGATCTCCCACACCCAGCTGGCCACTTCTGGGACCTGGAGCAGCTAGCTCCTCCTCCTGGCCAGGTACCTGTGGATGTGGGGTGGCAATAACTCCTACACTAGCTGGGATGTGCAGCATGCTGCCCCCACCCTACACTGCATAGAGGAGACTCCCAGAGATGAACACATTTCTCCAGGCCTCAAGTCAGAGAACTGGTGTAGGGACATGTGTGTCCTTTTTCCGTTCTACTCCCTTGGGGCACTGCCTCCCAGTCCTTTCTTTGTACCCCTCTCCTTCCCTGCTTCCATCTCCTCTTCTGCTTCCTCCTCAGCCTTGTTTATCACTCACCTCCTGCTCCACTCTCATGGTCCAGCTGTTGTCCAGGTCCCTCTCCAGCCTGACCCTGAACCTGGAAGAGAGCACGAAAGAGAGATCTTTAGGGAGAGGCCAGCCTCAAGTTCCTCCGGGGGTCACTTTAAGGACTGGCTTTTCTCATCTGCTATGGCTTGATGTTGTGGAAGCTCTGGTTTTGTTTTTGCCTGAAATCAAGAGTACACATCAAGCAGAAAGCAGGCTTCCAGAAAGGATTGTAGGAGACGCCCTCAGGACCTGGCACTCCCACCTAAATCAGGAACCAGGCACACCTTGGCGAGTCAACATGCTTTGCTTAGCTCCTTCCTGAATTTACCTGTCCCTGAGCCTCTAGGCTAATTGCAAAGGTAGGGTTTGGAGCTCTCTCAGGGAGGTTGAACAGAGTTGTCTGGGGCACAGGGGCCTGGAGACTCTAGTGTTTCCATGGGATTTAACACAAGAATGAGACTTTAGTCTCAGACTCTAGTCATGTCCTCATCAACTCCTTTCTCTCTCCAAACTGCATGTACAAACATGCATGTGATAATCTCAGAAAATGAGGTTGATACACAGTCATGGACTAATTTAAGGTTGGTAAAGATACATATGTATATGAAAATCGATGCAGATATGGATTTACATTCCAAGACATATAGAGATATAGACGTTGATAACTTTATAGGAGAATCTAGATTAAAAGGTATTGACTTAGGCTCCGTTGACTTCCCTTAGATTCTCTCTCATCCTCTTTGCAAGTGACTCCCAAATATGGAAAGATTTTCCTTTTATTTTTCATTTTCAAATTGCTGGCATGATCGGGATAGGTTTTGTCTACAGTATAGAAGATATCATAGGAGCTCACAGAGACTCAGGGAAAGAAAGCTGTGCCCCGCACCCTGGACAGGAAGACAGAACACTCTGAAGTTCTGAAACATGCTCAGAGATCCTATAACAAGTGCAGAGATCCCATCACAAGCTGGTCCTTTCCTTCAACCCTTTCCTTCCTCTGTCCCTATTACCCCACACCTTGCTGCCTCTCACAACCATAGCCCCCTGTTGTTGCCTCTGGAGACATCTCTGATCCTTACCCTAGTCATACTCACAGGCTGGGACGTTGGGGCGACCACTGACCCCAGGAGGAGAGTTGTGGCCAGGAGCAGCTGGGAAGCAGCCGGACAGACCATGGCTCAGTGGCACTGTCCCAAGGAGCCCTCCCACTGCGGCATGATGCAAATTTCTTTGCAGAGGAGCTGCAGGGCTGCGCACAGATGGTGTGGGAGGGAAGAGGGGAGCCAGGGCCCAATTGACAGAGGAAGTGCCTGTGACTGAGTCAAATGGGGATCCAAGTCCCCAGGGCCACCTGGAGCTCATGTGCTCCTGTAAAAGCCATATGCCCACGTGCTCCTTGGGGTCTATTCCAAGGACTCAGGGAGCAAAATAGGGTGAAAGGGCATAGGCCATAATCAGCAGTGAGTTAGCTAGATTCAGTATGCTCCCAAAGATCTAGGAATCTGGATTGTTCAGGAAGCTGGATTACTTACTGGTCAAACAACAAAATTAGAGCTATTGCTACATAAAATAATTTCCATATAGTCTTTTTTTTTTAAATGGTAGCAAAGTTTTATTAAAAGTAGGAAAAAAGAAAGAACCCCAAAACAGCATCTGCAGACCAAGTTTGGATCAAGTAAAAGTAGGAAAAACATGTGTACCCTACAGCATGAGGGCAGCCCACCATGCAAGAGAACAGAGTGGCCTCTAGTCATTTAACATTTTTAAAATTTTTATTAGTACATGTTTGTAGTACATAATGTGTATGTTCATTATGAGGATTTGGTACATGTACATAACGCATCCTAATTCTTTATTCATCCCCTTCCTCCTCTTTCCCTCTCTCTCTTTTGGTTGCTCTCCTGTTTGCAAAAGATCTGTCTCCCTGGTTGCTATTATCTAGCATTTGTTGTGCTCCTTAATTTATTTAAGGAGAAAATATGTAATATTTAAGCTTGTGTGTCTGATTTATTTCATTTAACATGATCTTAGAGTATATCCATTTTCCTATGACTCAAATTTATTCTTCTTTATGGCACAGCAGTACTCCACTGTGTATAAATACCACATTTTCTTTATCCATTCACGTGTTATGTACATATAGGCTGCTTCTAAGATTTAACTTTTATGAACTGGTGTGCTATAAACATGGGCATGTGTGAATCATTGTAATACAATGTCTATGCTCGTTCAGGAAGATACCTAGAAGGAAAATAGCTGGGTCAGATGGTATTTGTATTTTTTGTTTTTTGAGGAATCTCTACTGATTTCCATGGTGGTTGTACTAGTTTACATTTCCACTAACAATATAGAAGAGTTCTTTTTCCTCACAATCATGCTAACATTTGTTATTATATGATTTCTTTTTTTAAAAAATGTATTTAGTACAGGGTCTTACTACACAGCTTGGATTCATAGTGATCCTCCTGTTTTCCACCTCCCCAGCACTGGGATTACAGGGAGTGCCCACTCTGTCAAGGGTTCAGCATGCCCAGGGGTAGGGCCAGCATGGCATTTGGTCTGTGTGCTTGCCTAAGTAGGCACTTAGTCTGCTGAGCTATCTTGACTGCCCTATTATTTGATTTCTTATATATGATGATAGCTATTCTTTCTGGAATAACACAGAATCTCAATGTTGTTTTAATTTGTAATTCTCTCAGGCCAGAGATGTTGAACATTTCTTCATGTATTTATTGGGCATTTGTTTTATTAATTTATTTGTTATTTTTATTGGATCATTTATTCTGAGGGCCTTATTGTATGGAGTACTTTATATATTCTAGATATTAATCCTTGGTATGAGGTGTAGCTGAAAAAGTATTTTTATATTCTGTAAGTTACATCTTTATTGTTGATTGTTTCTTTTACTGTGCAGAAGCTTTTTAATTTTATATGGTCCTATTTGTTTATTCTTTGTTAGGCATGAATCCATGCAATTGACCAGATCATGGATTCTGACAAAAGAAGATTTATTGGAGGTAAGAGTAAGCAGGCTGGCTATCTAATGGGCCAAGACAGCCCTGACAAAAGGGGACAGGGGGCTTTTAGGTGAGGTGTTTGCAGGCTGGAACAGCTTAGAGAGAGAGCTAATCTTGGCAGGGCTACCTGGTCTGTGGGGGATTTTTGATGTTAACAAAGGAGAGTATCCATGGTTTTCTGCCTGAGTCAAAGTCAGGCAGACCTGTTCTGTTCAACCTTGTCCATCCCATCCCAGGGAACCTCCTAGAGAGGTCTCAAGTCCTGTAGCTCCTGAGTTGCCCCTAGGAGAGCTGTATCTACCAGGATGCCCACATGGGTGGCTTGTTTTATCCTGTGGGATGTGGGTGTATTCATAAGGAAGGAGGCATCTTGAAACTCTGAGTCTGTATATATGTTTAAATTAGGGCTCATAGTCACTGATGTGCACTGGAGGTGCACTTAAGGGAAGGCAAGGAAAGACTGCGGTGCCACACAGAAACAGCTGTGTGCCATTCTGTATTGTCTGCAGGTGTGTTGAATGAAGTTAGTTTGGTGGAAGGGAGGCCAGGGGAGTTTCTAAAGATTTTTTGGGAAGAGGGCAGGTGTGTGTGTTGTTCAGTATGGCTGGGATGGCTGTGAGGTGAGGCTTTAGAATGGACATGCACAGCCAACACTTGGTGAGGTTGGTGGTCTTGGTTAGGAGAGTTCTTAGGGGTGAGGAGGGTTCACATCCCTGTAGAAGCTAGTGCCAGGTGTCTCAGCTAGGATAAAAAGTTCTTTATTAGTGAAGGAAACCATCGGGGAGGCACGGAATAATGGGCTTGAGTCCACTGTGATGTTTGGGGGCTATTGGGTATTGGGGAATGCAGGGAAAGGCTGTGGGATCTCTGAGGCACACTAGTATAGGTATAGCATGTGTGGCATGAGTGTGATTGGAAGTGTCTCAGAGTATGTGGTCAACAAGGGAAGAGGGAGGGAGGAGCTGGCTGTGCATTGAGGTTAGGTTTATAGGATGAGCACTGTGGGGAGAGAGGTAAGAGAGACATGGAACTTTTGGATGAGATCTGTCCCCATGAGAGGTATGAAGTAGGTTGGCTTTACAAGGAAATTCTGAATGAAGAACAGTGTCTGGAGTCAGCAGCAATGGGCCTGTTTGAAAGTGTCATGTAGATCAGCCATTAACACTCACTATGAAAACTAGATCTAATATAGTGACTTTAGAATTCAGGAAGAACACTATATGTGGTGTCAGTGTCAGCAAGAAAAG